ACCATGCAGAGGACTGAACTTTAGGACTTGCTGGGAGCAGGGAAGTCGCTGCTGAGCAGGAGAACCTCACACGGACCGAGTTGTCACTCTCTGGAAGTCCAGTTGTACCCCCTTTTCCTAGCCTTCCCACTTAATCTGTTCTGTTTAGCAGCAAAGATCATCCTGACTTGTGAGCAACTGCACGTGTTTCTGAAAGGTGTGCTGAGCTTTTTCTGTTTGTTCATTTTGGTTAAAAACAACAAACAAAAACGAAAAGTAACCCTATTATCACCGAAGAAGCCATAGGCTAACTGCAGACCATTTCCTTAGCAAACTAAATTCCATCAATATTCACATTGTAAGGTGGTGATTTGCTCTCTGTGAAAATTTTATTTCTTAGTGAGGAACAAGTAGATCCTAGCAGATGATTTAAACCAGGAGGGGACACTTGTCTGAGAAAAAGACTTAAGTCATTATATAGAACAAAGTTAAAGTCTGTGTTCATTTGCGGAGAATCACTGTGACTGATGAAAAAAGAGCCGTCATTGTGGCATCTGTTCCCCGAGCACTTTGTAGCCCCAAAACGACTGGTTTCGGGCTGGGGCTCATCACATCAGGTGTTTATTGAGCTCCTTCAGCGAGCAAAGGCTGGGTGCCTTCGGTGCCCCTTGGTGAATTTTCCCACTGATGGTTCATTTTCATAATTTATCATAGTAGAGCTTGACTAGGTACAGTGGAGCTGCTGTTAGAAAGATCAGGAATTTCCTATCTGGTAAGATACACAGGCCAGCAAAATCTTGGGCAGAAGTTCAACGTTTGTAATTATCGTTAGCTCTGTGATGTGGTACATTGTAATAGCTTATCATAGAACCATAGAGACGGTCAGAAAACCCACTCCTTTGTGATTGCTGTAACTGTAGTTTTATGTGGGCTGTGGCAGGAGGCAGCAATGAAAGACCTGAATCCACTGGTGCTCCTTTAGGGTCTTCCCCAGCTGTGCTTTCCCTGGTGAAGAGGTTGCTGTTAGGCAGCTACCACTGCAAGCCTATTTTTAAGACTGGAGGTTTGGCCTCCGCTGGGTATTTAACCTGAGCATGTGGAGGAGGGTACGTGAAAAGCTCTGAGCACCTGGGGAGAAGAACTTAGTTCACAGGGGTCTGCAGTCACTACTGCCAGCATCTGAACTCGCATCTCCGCTGCCTGAGAATGGAGTCAGCTGCCTCACATTTATATGTAGTTTGGTTGTCTTTAAAAGCAGGCAAACAGTTGTTATTCTCATCAGCCCTCTTTATGATCCACATGTAGTTTACTTTCCATCCTGAACTAAAATTCTTAAATCAGATCAAAATTCTTATGTATAATTCTATTATTAAGAATTTATTTTTGGCCGGGCGCAATGGCTCACGCCTGTAATCCCAGCACTTTGGGAGGCTGAGGCGGGTGGATCACGAGGTCAAGAGATCGAGACCATCCTGGTCAACATGGTGAAACCCCATCTCTACTAAAAATACAAAAAATCAGCTGGGAATGGTGGCACATGCCTGTAATCCCAGCTACTCAGGAGGCTGAGGCAGGAGAATTGCCTGAACCCAGGAGGCGGAGGTTGCGGTGAGCCCAGATCGCGCCATTGCACTCCAGCCTGGGTAACGAGCGAAACTCCGTCTCAAAAAAAAAGAATTTATTTTTTCCTTTCACAGTCTCTTAAAAGACAGTTGCATCTTGAACTAAATATATGGATCTGTAAACTTGTTTAAAAAAAGTTTAGGAGTGTCCTATGTATGCTCTGCAGATACAATGGCTAAGCATTGAGGCAGAGTTAATGCAGTGGAAATAGTTTTTGTGGGCAATGCTTGATGAGTTTAGGGACCAAGAAAGCAAAATGGCTTTGTTATGGAATAGTTATCCTTTTTTTTTTTTTTGAGGTGAAGTCTTGCTCTGTAACCTAGACTGGAGTGCAGTGGCACAATCTCGGCTCACTGCAACCTCCAACTCCCAGGTTTAAGCAATTCTCCTGCTTCAGTCTTCCAGGTAGCTGGGATTACAGGTGCCCACCACCACACCCAGCTAGGTTTTTTTTTTTTTAATTTTTAGTAGAGATGAGGTTTCACCATGTTAGTCAGGCTGGTCTTAAAACTCCTGACCTCAGGTGATCTGCCTGCCTCGGCCACCCAAAGTGCTGGGAATATAGGTGTGAGCCACTGCACCTGGCCTAGTTACCCTTTTTCTTGGTAAGGATGATGCTGGGTTTGAAGGAAACAATCTCTTTTCTGTCCGAACTCTATGTGTATTACAGCTAGTGCTTGACTTACGACCACGATTGGTTCCAACAGACCGGTCGTAACACGATTTGGTCGTAAATTGAGTAGGCTATATGCACGCGGAGATGGTAGTGCTGCCGGAAGCTGGTCTGCACTGTCGTACGCCCAGCTGGGCAACGTTTGCACTGCCAGATGCGGAGCAGTTGTGGCTAGCGATTGTGGTCGTAAAGTCGAATGGTCGTAAGTTGCATAGGTCGTAAGTCGATCAATACCTGTACTGTGTTCTAGATCCTGCGCTCAAAGTGGCTGCATCATGTTTCTCTATAGAAACACATCTATATTTCACAAAAAGATCATGTAAACACATATAAGCAAGTAGCTGCTCAGGTTCTTAGTTTGCAAAGAACAGAGCTCTAGGAAACCCAGCAAGAAAGAATTAACAGTGGAAGGCAGAGGTTCCCACACTGAGTGTTTATTAGAAAACACTTTAGAAGAACCTAGTAGGTCTGAGGTGGGCCTCAGAGATATGCTTCTTAAACAAACTGGGCCAGAAATCACATTTTGGTAAATATATTCTTTTTTTTGATGGATGAATGGTACAGCTAGTGCTTGATTTACGACCACGGTCGGGACAGCGGACCGGTCATAACACAATTTGGTCGTAAGTTGAGTAGGCTATATGTACAGTTGAAATGGTGCACGCGGAGATGGTAGTGCTGCCGGAAGCTGGTCCACACTGTCGTACGCCCAGCTGGGCAACGTTTGCGCTGCCAGACGCGGAGCAGTCGTGGCTAGCGATTGTGGTCGTAAAGTCGAATGGTCGTAAGTTGCATAGGTGGTAAGTCGATCAATACCTGTAATTTTTTTTTCCAGTTGTATATCTTTTTTTTTTTTTTTAATAGTTTTAGAGGAACAGGTGATGTTTGGTTACATAGATAAATTCTTTAGTGGTGATTTCTGAGATGTTGGTGCACCCATCATCCGAGCAGTATACACTACACCCAGTGTGTCGTCTTCTCTCCTTCACCCACCTTTTGAAAAGCATTGATAGAACATCTTACATTGTATATCTGAAGTTTCTTCGAAATAGGCAAGCAGGGAAAAGAACACAGACAGATTGTTTTACCTGCTTTGTAAATTGTTTTTAGAGGAAGACTTTGGAGGTTGGTGTTGGGCTTAATTCCCAGAATTTTGGAGCAGAAATTTTGAGATGTGACTTTGGTAGTGGTGGAAGTCCTATGTTTCTGCTTTCCCCAAGTCCGCCTCAGTCTGAGTGCCTCTAGACAGCGTCTGTTTCTTCCATTCCCACCATGCTTCCCATTGGCATAGAACAATTCTAGCACATTATTGGCTTGGAAGTCAGAAGACCTGGCTCCACCCTAGGCTTTCTGCATTGTCATGAGAAAGTCACATCTTCTCTGGGACTGACCTTCCTCATCTTAAAGGCTGGCATAATCTGGAGAACATTTAGAAACATAAGTTCCTGACCCCTATGTACAAAGAATCTCCAATTTTTAAAATATATTTTTCAAAAGTTCTACAATTTTTTTTTTTGAGACAGAGTCTTGCCCAGTAACCTGGGAGTACAGTGGCATAATCATAGCTCACTATAACCTCAAACTCCTGAGCTCAAGCAGTCCTCCTGCCTCAGCCTCCCAAGTAGCTGGAACTACAGATGCAGGACACCACACTTGGCTAATGTTTTATTTTTTTATTTATTTTTCTGTAGAGACAGAGTCTTGCTATGTTTCCAGGGCTGATGTGGAACTGGGCCTCAAGCAATCCTCCCACCTCACCCTCCCAATGTGCTAGGATTACAGACGTGAGCAACCACATGTGGCCTACAGATGATTCTTATGCACAGCAATATTTGGGAACTACTGGACTAGACTACCTTTGATGGCCTTGTCAGCTCTATAATTCTATTGTAGGGTTTTAGTGAAAAGAAATTTGTGTTAGAACAAAGTAGCCCAATGACAGAAGGAGTATGAGTTTATTCATTTTCACTTGTGACTTTTGTATGGTTGTAACGGTCACATATTGTACTTCATCTTACTGTGTGGATGTTAAAGAGTAAATGATTACTGGGGTTGTCCTTTTTATTTCAATATGCTAATTCTGTGAAGGTCCTTCTAGCTTGTAATTTTGTGAAAACCCGAAGCTACCTACACATTAATTCTGTCTCCATCATATGATTCTGCAATCACAGAAAACCCATGAAACAACTTTAAGACAATAAACATTGGCTTAGTGGAATGAGGCAGAAGGATTTTCCTGGTACTAAGACGAGGGGTCCTCCTCTAGAAAATGGAAAGGAAATGATTGTTTACTATGGCCTAGAGCTGGATTTATCATGAGTTGAAGCCGAGGATCTTTAATCAAGTCCCCCACCCACCCTACCTGTGAGATCTGAAATACTGGAGAACTTGGAATTATTACCCTGGGATTTTTCTGATAGACATTTTTAGATTATGTAAGATATGTGTATATATCCCTACCCCTATTCTCAGTACCCTTACCAGATGATACTGAATATTCTAGGGGTATTTGCAGGAGAATTCTCTTAGATATTGCAGCTATATTCTTTCTCTTGTTCTGGATATTAATCTAATTTTCAAATATGCATTCATGCTTGAGACTGACAGGCTCAAGTTCCTGGCAGTGGCTGTTTCTGCACCTAGTCATCTGACTGAGAATATGGGGCCCTAAGCTGTTGAGGGTAATCACTTAAATACATCTCCCTTAATCTTCTTTGCTGGGCAGTGAGAAAAGGAGACAGTAAGGAGCCAGGGGAACGGAGAGAATTGTGGGGAAACTCCGCTCCTTGAGCTCCTGCTGCCTATTTTTCATTTCTTGGGAATCCATGCCAAGATGCCTTCCTTCCTTGGCCTAAAGTGTCTGGGGAAATTGTGCAGCTCTGAGAAAAGCAAAGTCACCTCATCTGAGAGAACCAGTGCCAGGGGCTCGAACAGAAAGAGACTGATTGTTGAAGACTGGAGGGTATCTGGGACCTCCTTCCCCACTCACAGGCGTGCCACTGTCACTCAGTTGCTATATCTCTGTCCCGAGGACTACTGCCCACATGGGCACATATGTAACAGCGTTGATCCTTTTGGTAAGTAAAATAACCCACTCTGGACATGGTTTTGTCTTTTGTGATTGGCGTAATTAAGAGAGTACTATCCAGCTCATTCTTCTGTAATGTGTTCTTCAAAGGAAACACTATCCTTAATATATAATTAATGGCAGTGAGGGTGGGAGAGATGGAGAATGTAAGTACAGCTATGGAGCTAAATTCCAAGGGTATTTTTGTCCAGGATCTTAAGATCTTCAATAACAAATGTATGTCTTTCCAAACATTGTATGAATAATTGTCAGTAATAGGAAGTATGATGGAAAAGAAAGATCTCTATCCATAGATGCTGTCCTTTCATATGACAAAGAATAAATGGAAAGGAAGTATTCAAGGCCAGAGATGGACGCCAGCAAAAGATGACCTAAGTAAAGCTGAACTCTAAATTGTGTCACCGTGTAGGGAGCACTCATCTTGTGAAATGTTCTAAAAAAATAAAAAATGAAAAGCCTTTTAATATCCATAGAACTTGTTGAGGCTTCTTTTCAGTGAACCTCATTAAAACATGTCAGTCATCCCTCTGCCTGGGAAAGAGGTGGACAAGGCCCACTCTGAGGTTAGTGTTACTGCACTTGGGAGTTTTCAGACCTGGAAGTTATCATGGTGCCTTTATTAATGAAGATGATACCTACCCAACCGCTCACGCCTTGTCAAAGTCAGCACTAGAATTAGTACAGGAAGCAGAAGGCAATTAGCCGTGGTCCCTACAAGTGTATGAAGTTGAATCAAATAAACCAGGAAACATAACATATTCCTCATCATTCTTGGACAGCCAGAGAGTTGGATTGGATTCAGTTTAGCTGAAGTAAGGGAGTTAAGATGTTCCGTTTTGTTGCAATCAGCTTTCAATAGCTTTGTTGAGTGATAATTCATATGCTGTAAAAGTCACCCATTTAAAGTCTACAGTTCAGTGGGTTTTAGTATGTAACTGATGTGTGCAGCCATTACCATGGTGAATATTTTCATTGCCTCAGAAAGAAACCCTGTACTCTTTAGCTATTGCCTCCCCACCTCAACCACTTCATCCCCACCTCCCAGCCTTAAGAAATCAAAATCTACTTTCTGCCTCTTAGATTTCCCTACTCCGGATATTTCATGCGAATGGAATTTATAATATGTGGTCTTTGGTTTATGGCTTCTTTCACTTAGCATGTTTTCAGGGCTCTCCCATGTTGTAGCACGTGTCAGCACTTTATTCCTTGTTATGGCCAAATACCATTTCACTGTATGGATATTTCACATTCTGTTTCTCCTCTCACCAGCTGATGGACATTTGGGTTGTTTCCAACTTTTGGCTGTTATGGATAATGCCCCATGCATATCCATATACAAGGTTTTTTTCTTTTTTTCATGTCAGATGGGTAAGGTGCCAATGTCATAACAAGGTTTGAGGGTGGCACTCCTCACACATGCGTACATGAACACATCAAATGGATCATCATATACAACTTTTTATGTGGACATATGATATGTTCAGAACTCTTGGGTATATACCTAGGAGTGGAATTTCTGGGTCATGTAAAAATTCTATGTCTTACCTCCTGAAGGACTTCTAGATTATTTTACAAAGTAGCTGCTCCCTTTTACATTCCCACCAGCAGCAAATGAAGGTTCCAGTTTCTCCACATTCTTGGCAACATTTGCTATTATGTGACTTTTTTGGGGGATGGAGTTTGGCTATGTTGCTCAGGCTGGAGTGCAGTGGTACAACCTCGGCTCACTGCAACCTCTGCCTCCCAAGTTCAAGTGATTCTCCTGCCTCAGCCTCCCAAGTAGTTGGGATTACAGGCACGTGTCAGCACACCTGGCTAATTTTGTATTTTTAGTAGAAATGGGGTTTCACCATGTTAGCCAGGCTGGTCTCAAACTCCTGATTTCAGGTTATTGGCCTGCCTCTGCTTCCCAAAGTGCTGGGATCATAGGCGTGAGCCACTGTGCTCTGCCTTATCTGACTTTTTTATTCCAGCCATCCTAGTGGATGTGAAGCGGTATCTCACTGTGACTACACAGAGCTTTGGCTGGGACAGAGAGGGCTGACAAGCAGATCAGTGCTCAGGGAGGACAGGATATTCACTCCAACGGCTGCTGATGGTGACAGCTCCTTCTCTCTTACTCTGAACAGTCTTCTCTTCATGATTCCAGGCTGCATCTCTTTTTAGGAGAGCAGGGAATGGGAATGGAGAAACCGTGCCTTCTGCCCAGCATGCTTACAAGCTATGCTAAGAACTTTGTTCCGAACCTGCTGATCATGCCTATTGCAGCGAGGGACACTTCCCTCAAAAATCAGATCCTCATACTAGTGGATACCTAGAATCCCTTTACTGAGGAGAAAAGTGTTTTATTCCACAAATAGGAATAAAAATGAAACATGTAGATTTCTGCCGGAGCTAACACTTTATTGTGAATGACTTCAGTGCTTCTATGGAATGTTTCTACTCAAAGAGACTCAAATCAGATGTGTTTGGAATGAGCCACTGTTGCTCCTGAAAGAGATAAGATCTGTTGGGAGGAGGAGGCAGCCAAGGGGAAGCCAGGTAAGCTGCAGTTGAATGAAAGCATGCTGGATAGTGACTTATCAGCAGTTTCTGTCATGAGGGAAGAAGAGAATTAACAGGATCAGAGAGAGTTCTGGATACAGGAAAGGTAATCTCATTGGGATATCCATATCTTAGTGGAGGCAGATAAGGAAATCTGGGAGATTAGTTAAGTGTGTGGCTTTGAGGTTGGACATTCCAGAGTTTGACTCCCCGCTCCTCTACTTACTTAATGTGTTACTTTGGGAAGTTAGTGATTCCAAGTGCATTTCTCTGTCTGTAAGGTAGGCAAGGAATGCATACCTTATATGACTGCTTTGGGCAGGCCTATCCCTAGAGTAGATGGGGCCCTGGGCAAATATTTTTTGTAGGGCCCCTGTCTGTATAAACAATTTGAGTCACCCCAAATCAGTGTGTCAACAGCTCAATCTTTTTCAATCATGGGAAAGAAATGCCACACCAGCCTGAGGTAGTGATTGCTTGGTAGGCTTGTCCCCTAGAATGGAGCCAGCTCCAGGGCCCCAAGAAACTCCATTGGCATGACTCTTGGGCTCCTTGGGGCATCTGGCCAACCCCTTGCACAGCATGGGAGAGATGCAGAGGATCACTAGAGAAATCTGTGAAGAGGAGGCACAGATTCCTCATCCAGACAGCACTGCTGGCCCCAGCAATCCCATGTACCAGAGCACACTTAGACATTTTTGAGGCAGGAATGGGGTTAGGGCAGGGCTCTGCTTGCCCATGCCTAAGGGTAGTATTGATTATGAGGACTAAATGAGAACCTGGCTGGGCATGGTGGCATGTGCCTATAGTACCAGCTATTTGAGAGGCTAAGGCAGAAGGATCATTTGGGCCCAGGAGTTCAGCCTGGGCAACATTGTGAGACCTTATCTCAATTTTAAAAATTGTAAATAAAGATAAAAATAAATTTAAAGAATGAGAACTTGCATATCAAAGTGTTTGGTATAGTGGCACACAAATGCATCCACTAAATGTTAATTTCAGTAATAATTATAGACTTGCAATATAGTCAGCATTAGTCATTTTGGACAGTCTCTACAGAGGCTGAATTTAAAAAATAAAATAAGAAAAAATCGTTTATTGTTGTTAAAAATAGTGATTTCTATTGTTTGCCTTCCATGCTGTGAAACAATAGAGGCCCAGGACTATAGATGCAGCACAGGACGTGGGATTCCCAGGAAGCCACTGTGTGCTCGAGCATCCTGTTTAGGACAGGTGCCTGGAGGAAGTGTGCCCTCCTGCAGCCATGCTTGTTCCTGTGCTATGAAGCACCGGAGAGTTCAGGAGCAGCTCCTCGCAGGGTGCTTGGGAATATTTGGCAAAGGCCTCCTGCAGCTGCCAGAAAGATCTCAAGATGCTGTAGCTTCCTGCTGTTGTCTGGTGCTCAACCCCTACTTGGAGTTGTGCTGGGCTCCTTGATTTTCCAAGTGTCCCCATGCGTATCTTGTCCTTTGTCATGCTCAAAACAACCCTTGGATGTTGCAAGGGAAGACACTGTTTTCCTCATTTCACAACAGCAATGAATTAGCAAGAAGATGGAAAAGTGGACAAAACAAATTTATCAGTGAACATACAAAACAGCTTCTGCAAAAATATGTCAGTGAACATATATCAGTGAAACAGATCTGTGAACATATAAAACAGCTTCTGAAAAAATATATCAGTGAACGTATATCAGTGAAATAGATCAGTGAACATACAAAACAGCCTCTGCAGCTTCTGGTTGTAGATGTAGTACTGTTCTAGAAGAATGGCTGTCATTCACTGGGGGCTGCTACATCTCAAACATTGTGATAAGCTTCTTTTGTGGTTTGGCTTTGTTTTAGGGACAGGCTCTCCCTCTGTCTCTCTGGCTGGAGTGCAGTGGTATGAACAGGGCTCACTGCAGCCTTCACCGCTTCAGCTCAAGCGATCCTCTTGCCTCAGCCTCTCATGTAGCTGGGACCACAGGCACATGCTACCATTTCTGGCTAATTCTTTGGGGTTTTTTTTTTTTTTTTTTTTGTAGAGACAGGGTTGTCCAGGCTGGCTGGTTTCAAACTTCTGAGCATTAAACAGTCTTCCTGCTTCAGCTTCCCTAAGTGTTGAGATTATAGGTGCAAGCCACCACACTGCCCTGTGCCAAGTGTTTTATGATTTTTCCATGTTTGATATTCTCAATAACTCAACAAAGCAGGAATTACTTTTATTTCGTTTTGCAGAGAAGGAAACTGGGGCATATGCAGTTAGGGGACCTGCCAAAGATCACTAAAGTACTCGATTTGGGCCCAGGTGTGTCTGACACCCAGGTTCATGGTCTCAACCATGATACCATTCTGCCTCAGTCCGAGGAGCGTAAGAGTGGGTCATTCGTGAGGTATGCTGAATGCTGACACACCTAAAGTTTATAAATAATATTGCTAATTAAGTACTTCAGCAGCTCAAATT